CAAGGCAGAATGCCCTTACCCAGCGATGGGAAGCTTTACCCATCGATGGGAACCCAGCGATGGGAAGGCTTAACCATCGATGGGAAGGCATGACCGTTGCGAGTTATTTAAGGCTGATTCTTTCCTTATTTGAAAGTCAACCTCCCACCCAGCGATGGGAAGCATCTACCCATCGATGGGTAGGTGACCGTTGGCTTCAAAACTGAAGGAAAATTGGCTTACCAGCGATGGTTGAGTCTAAACATCGATGGGAAGCCAATATTCTGCAGATCCCAAATCTTTTCAATCCCTTAAATCAAGCCAATCACCCCTTTAATGCATTGGTCCGTCGGAGCCTAATTTTGCACTATAAAAAGGGGTGTTTGGGTCTGCTTTTCACACCAATTCACTTCACAATATTTATATTATCATTGCATTCAAACAACATCATTTTTCATAGCTTTCTAGAGCCAATTTGTGAAGTTTGAGTTGTTCTTGAGCGTATATAGTTTACTCAACATCTACTCTAAAAGAGAGCCTTGTTCTTGAGTGTCTTAGTGTTGTATGCACGTTAAGGGGAGCTTGTTTCCCTTGGTTGTACGAAGGAAAGGTATTTTCCTTCGGGTTGAAGTCTTGGAGTGCGGTGTCTCCGAGCAAGTGTTGTTGAGGCTCGTGGGACTCGAGTTCTCAGGTTGTAACGGTTTGTTAAGCACCCGTAAGCTTAACGGAAGTAGTGTAGCTCGAGAGAGTCTCTCGGGAGACTGGATTAGCCACACGTTGTGGTGAACCAGTATAAATCTTGGTGTGCTCCCTTTACGCTTTTTACGCTCTTTACTTTTCACTTTCTTAATTTTTTTTATTCCTGCGATTTCTACGATCAAACGCTATTCACCCCCCCTCTAGCGTTGGTCACTTATTCTAACAGAGGGGGGGTGAATAGAGTTGTTGAGAATGTTTACCGATTTTCGCAGGATTAAAAATATAAACGTAAGTGCAGCGGAAATAAAAGAGAGAAGGCAAAGAACACACCGATGTATACTGGTTCACCACCTCGTGGCTAGTCCAGTTCCCCGAGAGACTCTCTCGAAGATACCACTACTTCCGTTAAGCTTACGGGTGCTTAACAAACCGTTTACAACACGAGAACTTGAATCCCACAAGCCTCGACACAACCGCTCGTAGATATACCCTCTACAAGACTTCACAACCAAGACTTAAATCACATAAGCCTTGAACAACAAGAAGAACAATCTTCTTCAACCTCTCAACAATAGCTCTCAAAAGAGTAGATAAGAGAAATGATTAAAGCTCTAATGGAAGACAAAACACTCTCTTGAAAACACTTAGTTTTCTCTCAAAATAATATAAATTTGAGGAAAGATTGATGGAGGATAAACACATCAAGAATGGGGAGTATTGGAGTGTTTCTTCTTGAGAAAACAGACCAAGGAAGAGTGTTTAAATAGATGAAAAAGAAATAAATCCGTTGAAAGTGGGGAAGGCTGATTTTGACAGAATTGGACCGTTGGGGATCGATCCAGGGCTTAGGATCGATCACCTGGAGTAAGCCAACGAGAATAAATTTCTGTCAAAGCTACGGGGGATCGATCCAAGGCTGGGGATCGATCCTCTGGAACCAAAAACCAAGAGATGGATTTTCGTAAGCCTTCGGGGGATCGATCCAAGGAGATGGATCGATCCAAATCCCTGAGCACACAATGCGATGATGATCGATCCTAGCAGATGGATCGATCCATTGACGAACATCCCTCAAACATGCGGACCCAAGACATGTGTGCGAGTTGGATGGAAATTTGGAGCTTAATGAATTGTTTTAGACAACAATTTGAATATCAAAAGGCTCCCAAAAACAAACAAATCAAATGGGTTGAGAGAATTAATTCAAATTCAAAATTTGAATTAAGTATTGAATTTTGGTGTAGAAATTAGGTCCCAAAAATATTTTGTGTGTCAAACGATGTACACGAAAAATATTTGAATAAAATATTTTTGCTTACCAAAAATATTTTATAATATCAAAATAAATATTTGATAAATGTTTGGCACACCTTTTGTGACTGACTCAATAAAATTATTTTAAACAGTTAAAATGATTTTTCAACTGACTCCAAAAATAAATATAATTTTTATTTTAACTCTCATAAAAATAATTGGAGAGAAGATAATTTTGTCATCCTTACAAATATTCCTACGACTCAAATAAATAAAAAGTCTTCAGAAATCTTCTACTCCTCCGAGTCCTCCGTTAGGCGCTCCGAACGCGTCTCGGATTCCAATAAAATCCTGTGCGCCTTCTTGAATATTTCAAGGAATGGCATTTCAAGTCTTCGTGTTTGTCGTTGTAGCACTTTGATCTTGACTTGAATAAATTGTGTTTGTCAATTATCAAAACCTGTGAGTCAACACTTAACAACATAGAAAGGGTTGAACTCATGCATTCCAACATCTTACGCCTCCCTCTATCTCTCAATTCTTGTGATGCTCATTCTTATCTTAACTATCATAACAATACACACTAAACGAGAACTCCATCTGAATTAGAATCATGGCCTCATCCCTGCTTCTCGATTTTAATTTTTTTCGTTTGGGCTAGTATATCATGTTCCCTAATAATTAAGTTTTGAAAACTCATATTGATTTAACACAATCAAAGTTATAATCTATTTTGAAATTATGACAAATTGTTTTTTGATTTCCTAGAATTTAGATCGTGTTTTCAAAATTAAATCCATAAAATATTTTACAATTTCGATTATCGGTCAATGGGCATAAAATTTGATAATCCTTGTTGTTAGAGACAGAAGAAGGAAGCGGGATTAAGGAAGGAAACCGAATCCCTTTGAGATTATGTTTAGTATCTTTCCTAGTTTGTTTAATTCTTGTTTTAGTATTAATAGAAATTTCCTTATTTGTTTTACCCTCATAAAAGAGGGTTACATCTTTGTATTTCACAAGCCAATTCAAGATATAAAAATATTTTCTCTCTTATTTTTCTACATGGTATCGGAGAAAGTTTTGAATTCTTGAGACCTCAAACACGCTTCTTCCCCTGATGGTGGGCATACACAATTCAATGCCTACCGGCGTGATATTGTAATTTTTATTTTCTTTGATTATTCTTCCTCACTAAAGAACTAGTATTTTAACCCATGCCACGCACGGGGCCGAATTGTTGGGGAATTGATGCGTGTCTCGACCTCTTTCCCCGATTCACACAACCAAACTCTTGTACACTCACACACACACTCAATAATACAAAGACACGACTGTAGAAAAATGACTTTGTATTATATAGAGAAAATGTACAAGAGATATTACAATTACATGGGTAGCACACTTCACTCTTTGTATTAGGAACACCTCACTCACAAGCACTCTCAAGAAGCCTTCTTGGTTCTTCACTCTCTTCTTCCTCCACACTCTATCCAAATGAGGCATCCACACCCCTATTTATACTCCTCACCAAGGCTAGGCTTCTCTAGAACATTCCACACACCTCTTTATCACTAGAATCTT